TCAATCTTTTTCCTCTCTATTATAGGCAATACAGACGAGATATGATCATGGTGTTTTAAATCGTCGGGAGAGTAGACTGTGCTCTTCAGATGACCGACTTCTTTGAATTTGCACAAACAATACATCTGCGCGGTCATCCGTATAAACTGAAGAAACACCAGGCCAAACTAGAAGTGCGGGCCACTTGATCTCCCAGCGGGTCACTGCAGAATGGAATACATTTCCTTCCTCGGTTGTTCTTGCTGAAAGCGTCGACGCATTCAAAAGAAGGCTGATCTTACTTTTCTCGCTGGCATACATTTGGTAGACAAGAACGATTTATATAATTTATATATGACCTTGAACAGCGTGCATGATCTGACAGCATCCATCTGTAAATAGGGTTTTCAAAGGTTCTGCCTCTCTCCCTTATATAAATTGAATTATACTGAATTATATCCAGAATGTTTAGTAAAAAATATGTCGCTGCCCTTCCGGCCATCCGGGCTTGGACTGGTACCGGGAAACAAAAAAGTTAACTTTTGGGACGTGACTGTAGCCATTCAACGTCTTCGTCAATCATATAATGCAGAACCAGACGGCATACCTTTCAGCCTTCCAAAAGCTGAAGCATATAATATTTTCCGACTTTTCTGTGTGAGATATTTAATTTTGCTGTTGAAAGCGAAACTTTTTCTAGTTTATGTAAGGAATCGCACATACTGCCTATACCTAAGCACGGCCGATCGCCGTCATCTGACGACGTTAGGCCAATAAATAATATTCGCGCAGCCTCACAGATCCTGGAGATTTTGATGAAAGAAAAGAGGATGCGTCATCTTAAAGAGAACAACCTACTTAATGCGGTTCAGCATGGGTTCCTCGAGAGAAGACCTTCTGACACCTGCAATCTTTCCTTCTTTGATAATGTGCTACAATCTAGAGACAGTGGTATTGCCCTTTATAGAGGTTATTTTGATTCCACTAAGGCCATTTGACCATTATCTGCTCCGCGTTAAACTTGCCTCTTTTGGCATAAGTAACAAGCTTTTGAATTTAATATCCTACTTTTTGGATGTTCGCACATAACGATTTAGAATTTCCAACGATATCTCCAAACTCGCACATGCGAGGTGTGGAGTTTTTTAGGGTAGCGTACTTGGTCTACGCTAAGTTTGCGTTTTGTCAGCAAGTTTCCTGATTGTTTTCAGTATGACAGACCCTTCATTTATGCTGACGATTTAAAAATTGCTTATCGCAACATCGTGCTCAAGCTCAGAAAAAGGATCTTCAGGCATTTGCCCACTGGTGCTGCATATGGCTTCTTTCCGTTTCTTGGCACAAAGGCTCCGTTACGTTTGTTGGTGACTGTCATCAACCTGAATTATCCATAGACGGTCACGACATAAAGGTGCCCGGAGTTGTTAAGGATCTGGGTATGCCACATTCTAAAAGTGTTAATCTGTCAGAGCAATGCGCCCTTTCTGTCTAGAAAGCACACCGAAATGTTAGATTGATTCTCAGAAATTCTTAGGCCATCAAGGTTAGAACTAGACTTTATAATATGTGCGCTAGAC